CTTGACCCAGGTACTATATCCTAATGTAAAAACAGATCACAGATCCCACTAGAAGTCAGTCAGAATTTTTAAGTCAATAGGACATTATTTAAAAAGCATTTGTAGGATAGTACAGTGGTTAATCCTCACATCTACATAAGATAGGTGGGTGACAAGTGCTGTATGATCTTCTTATTTTATTGACAATTTATATACTTCCAACTAGTCACTCCCAAACAACTCTCACCTGCCTGAGAGTTGGTCAGACATTTGCCTTTGCTCCCCTTTTCTTCAGTCAGATTCTATTTGTTGCCACATGTCCTGTCCCTTCTCAAGGCGCATCTTGTGGTGAAGACTGGGGATTGATAGGCATACAATGGGGGGATCTGGACAAGACAGAACAGGATAAGGGAAAGGGGAAAGTAAACCTAGATTCTTAACCTTCTGCCCACAAGCATTCCTCTAACACACTTGGCTAGATAGACAGGACTGCACCTGAACAGTGCAAATAAATGGCCTAGTGTCACCTCAAATGATTCACAATGTAATATAAGGTTCTGTGCTTGGTGCTATCATGTTCAACATTTTTATTAATGACTTTTGAGGATTCTATAGAAAGTAGCCTAGCTAATCAGTGAATGGTGTGAGGCTGTTGTGAGCTAGAGGGGGTGAGAAAACCAAAGCAGTTTCCCAAAAGATCTTGATCACCTGATGTGATAAGCCAAATTCAACAAAGTATATTTTACTAGGGCTAAGTGCCACATCCTATAATTGGGCGCCAACACTGAACTTCAAATGACCCAAGTGAAAGTGGGGCAGCAGTAGCACTTGTCAAAATGGTTCAGAGGCTTTTGCTGATAGTAATTGAGAGAAATGTCATGTCAATAACATGGCTGCCAGAAATTACAAGGTGATATTAGGCTTTCTTGCAGAGGAATGTGAACAGGCCACCTACTCTGCAAGGCAAGGCCATATCTAGAATCCTGTGTTCAGTTTTTACTGCCTCATCTTAGGGAAAATTAATGAGCAGGAACATGTCCAAAACAGACACCAAGATTGGTGAAGGGAATGGAAACCAAAAACCATGTTATACAAAGTGTGATAGAAAGAACTAAGAGAAGCCATGTTTACCATCTTCATATTTCCATGTTAATATCTAAAACCTCTAGAAACTCCTCAAAGTCCAGTGAGACTGCCTAAGAAGAGCTTGGAGAGAAGAAAATGTTGTGAGACTATAGGCTGGCTGTTTGGCAAAGAAAGTTAAGAAATATAGCAACCAGTGGTAATGTTTTCATTGTCTTATTCCCAGGGATCATCTAGCAAAAAGGGAATGGGATGATCAGAGAGTCAGTTCGGGACTCATGGGTGTTCCTGGAGGGTTATGCAAGCAGAAGACCATAGGCTCTCATAGTTCCTCAGCCCCTAATCCACTGGCACCTCCTCCTGCGTCCCTACCTAATTTTCTCTTCCCATCCTCCTCTACCCTGCAGATGCCTCTGCTTCCCCTACATGATGTTGTGATTAAGTGCAAGGCTGTAGTATTAGACTACCTGGGGATCAAATTCCAGCTCTACAAAATAACCATGTGTGTGACTTTGAGTAAGCAAATTTAATGTCTCTTGTGCCTCAGTTTCCTCACCTGTTAAATACAAATAATAGTATAAACTGTGTGGGTTGTTAGGATTAAAAGAAGTAGTATATAAGACAGTTAGAAAAATGCTTGCCATATAATAAATGCTCAATAATTGTTAGCTGTTATAATTACCAGGCCACAAAAATCATACTGTATAATGAATGGTAAGGGAACCCAGGCTCTGGAGTCAGATCACCTGTGTTTGTATCCTGGCTCCACTAAATATGTTAACATTTGGCAATTTTTAAAAACAGCGTATGGCCTGCAAACCAATGTTGCCCCAATAAATTCAATAAAAAACCCCAGTCTATGGCCTCAATTTCCTCATCTGTAAGATGAGAATAATAGTACTGCCTACCTCTTAAAATTACTGTGAGAATTTTATGAGGCAATCCATTTTAAATACCCTGAAGTCTTTCTCTATTAGGTTTACTTTTTTGAACTAGCGCATGCCTTCTGCCAGATGTCAACAAAAGAATGTCCAAACCTATAGGAAAGTTTTATTTGAGCCACAATTTTGAGGACATATCCAGAAGCAAGATGTCAATGGATTGAGAAAATGCTCCAGAGAATGGCAGTTTTGTATTTCTTTTTATGCATTTAGAGTCAAAGGAGAGAAAGTAAGGAAGGTACATGAAATCCATTGGTGGTCGATAGGAGGAAGGAGAAAGCAAAGCAGGGAAATCTCTAGGATTGGATAAAAAGCAAAATGGAGAAACATACTTCTTTTACATTGGTCGGTACAGGATAGTTAATTAACATTTATAGCACATAGAGATGATATGTGGGGAACAAGGTAACAATTAAGGGTTCTGTTCATGCTCTAGTGGTCTTGTGCTCTGGTGCCTGTGGTTGTGCCTTCGAGGGGTCTGGAAAAGAAAGTTACTCTGATATTTTATTTTATTTATTTATTTTTTAATATATCTTTATTGACTTCAGAGAGAGGAAAGGAGAGAGAGAGAGAGAGAGAGAGAGAGAGAGAGAGAGAGAGAGAAACATCAGTGATGGGAGGGTGTCATTGATCTGCTGCGTCCTGCACGCCCCCGACTGGGGATGGAGCCTGCAACCGGGGCCTGTGCCCTGACCGGGAATCGAACCCTGATCACCTGGGTCCTAGGTCGACACTCAACCGCTGAGTCACGCCTGGCCGGGCTCTGATATTTGAGAGGTACGTTATCCTACATGCAGAAGAATAATAGATAAAGATTGGCCTTTACTGAGGAAGCTATAGGTCTGGGACATGACTACTAGCCATGATTTGCCCAGTTAGGAACTTGTTTTTTCAATGGCAAAACACCACATGACTCTTTTAATAAAATTTATCAATATTCCAATGATCTAATAAATACATATATAACAAAAGTGAAAAAAGTAACTATGGTGAGATGATGTTCTTCCCCAAAACTCCTTGCTGTGAGGTGGTGGGTGAGCAAAATGGGGAAAGGGGGTAAAAAATCATAAACTTCCAGTTATAAAATAAACAAGTCCCTGGGATGTAATGTATAGCATAGAGACTATAGTTAAGAATACTGTATTGTATATTTGAAGCATTCTAGGAGTCTTAAAGAAACACTGCCATTTTGTTCATTCCTCCACCCACCCACTGACACTTCCTTTGATCCACCTTCACACCCAACTAACTCCAATATGGCCTCTAGGGAGGGTTCCATGTTAGCCCTGGGACTTGCTGGTGCCTCAGTAAACAGACTGAAATGTTTAAAGGTGCAGTGCCTTCATTCTTCTAGATAAAGAATGATGTTGGTACTGGCTGGCTAAAGAAATCTGTGCTGGAGGCAGTCACTTTAGTGTCCCACCCCTGCGACCACAGACAGCAAAACACCAGCAGGTCTGGACAGATACCTTGGAAAGCTTAATAGTGACAGATAAAGGACTGATACAACTCTCAGGACCTTATGGAAGAAAGCGTCACTAAAAACAAACAGCAAAGAGTTCTTTTCCTGAAACTTGGTTTTGGTAGAAAGATAAGAAAAGTAACTTTTCACTCTCCATAAAAGCTTCCTCCTCTTGGCTTTGCCTGCCCTGAATTCCCTACCCTCTTTGCCCCGGGAATTCTAATGGCTAGGTGAGCACAGCCCAGAGCAGATACTAGCCACCTTGAATAGTTCTTCACTCTGTTCCACCTGGAGGATGATTTTAGTAGCTGAGGTTACTCACTCACTTTTAAACAATGTCACTTGCAGAAACTTATAGCTATAGTTGCAGCCCTAAAGGTGAACATATACCCAATTATTCTGTTCTGTCAGATAAGATGCAGAGAAGCTGGAAATGGGTAGCAATGTTTCCAAGGACCCCTTAGGAATGTATTGAAAGGAGACCCTGGAAGCCATTTAGGAAGTTTAGCAAAGACCCAAAATAGACTGCAGACATTAGTAGGAAATGTCATTCTAATTCAGCCAGACTCAACCAGTAGCATAGCATTTAACCAATCCCAAATTAGCAACTGTTACTCAGATAAATCTTACAACAATCTGATTGCAGTTAACTGTACCTGAGACTTAAATAAAACCCTAGTGCGCATGTGAAAAAAACAAAGGGAGAGAGAATATAACACAGCCAGACTATTGAGACTTGGAGTGATACCATTGGTGGGCCACTGGGGAAGAAGAAAGTCTCCAAAGAAACCAGGTAATAGTATTTTGAACATTTCCCCCAACTTGAAGTAGTCCAGTTAGGAATTATGTTCAGACCACCCTGTGGTTACTTTTAGTCATCAAGTTTGTTAGGCTTTGCCATGCAATCCTCCCCCTGAACTTGCCAGGTTTAGTATATTGCCCCTTTTTTGTTCATAGAGGTATACAAGGAAAGGAAGAACTGCTGCACACTTTCTACCTCTTGACTTGATTATTGCAATTGCAGGAGCTGAATAATTTAGTCTTCGCTTTTCAGAACCTAGAGCAGCCAGCTTGCTCCCTCAACAAAAAGGGGCTGCTTTAAATGCTGATCATTGTTTTTCTTTCTTTTTTTTTTTAAAGTACTTAGTTTGTAATTATACACTTATGAGCATGATTATTTGATTATTGTGCCCAACACATATGAACTGGCCATGTGAGAGATGAACTAGAGCATTGGTTCCCTCCAAGCCCTCAGTGAACCAGAAGCTGGCTGCAAAAGATGGTCCCAGTGTCCTTGAGGTGGAACAGGAATAGAACACGCAGGTGAAGGGCCCCTCCACTTGACCCCAGTCCTGGCTTCCATCGCGGATAGGGAGATGGAGGCCAGAGTGTCTGTAGGAGAACTGCTTCCTTCACTTAAAGCTGCACCACTCTTCGTCTGCCAAAAGTGAGGAAAAGTCGCAAAGCTAGGGGCCGAGAGGAAGTCTTGGGCAGGGCCCTTCCGGAAGCTCCCATCCGCTGGTCCGAGCAGAGTCCTCTCAGCCGCCAGACGGCGCTGAGCCCAGAGCCCTAGACTCTATGGTCGCTCGCAAGAACTCCCATGAGGAAGCGCGACCAGGAACCTCCTATATACTTCCGCTTCCGGCCTTACGTCTTCCTTTCCGTGCCGATAGCGCTCTCGCAAACATGGTAGGACTTTGGGGTTGGGGTAAGGTAACATCCAGTCTAATCTTCCCTCCCTCGTCCACGGTGCCGTCCCGGGGTGGGTCCAGGCCCCTGTGTGGACTCGTACCAATGAGACGCGGTGTTGCCGGGATCGATCCCGAAGGGCCTGGCTTCGGGGTCAGGGATTAAAGTGATGGGATCAAAGACGTAAAACTCAGCCCGGGATGGAGCGAATATGCCCTCTTTCCAGTTTGGGGCTCGTCGGAGGCTGCTGTCCATTAAGCACGTGGGACTAGACCACCTTCTAGTGAGAGATGTGTTAGCGGCGGCTCTGAGAATAGAGTTCTCGTGGGCTGCCTTAGTGTGAACCGGGTCGCCATTGTGCTATTGGTATATGATAACACTGCACGGTCTGAACGGTTTGTTTACTAGGTGAACGTCCCTAAAACCCGCCGGACTTTCTGTAAGAAGTGTGGCAAGCATCAGCCCCACAAAGTAACACAGTACAAGAAGGGCAAGGATTCTCTGTATGCGCAGGGTAAGATGGTCTGTTGTATGGTGTGGGATTTGGTTTGAATGTGGCATCTGTGTAGTAGTGTAAACACACAAGCCTAGACGCCCCCTACCCCACCGCTTGGGCATGGGTATTTTTTCTGGAAACCCAAAGATAAAACCGTAAGAAGACTTTTCCATGTGACTTGTTATTTATTGTCTTTGGTACGCTGTAACAAATACAGTATTTTCTCTCAGGAAAGCGACGTTATGACAGGAAGCAGAGTGGCTATGGAGGACAGACTAAGCCGATTTTCCGCAAAAAGGTGAGTAGTAATTACTTTTTGACATGTTTCCCACTGATTGTAATGAAGACCTTGCATTTGCTGTTTGCCCACACACCTCTACAATATAGGTATTGTGTTTTCATAGTTTCAGCAAAGTTATCTCAAGTCACCTGTAGTGACATACCTAGTAGGCAGTGGAACTGGGAGTACAACCACCTAGGTTTGATTTTAGTCTACAATACTGCACCATTGCGGTGTATAAATATACTTCATTTGAGAGAGGGGGATAAACATCGATTTGTTCCATTTATTTATGCATTCATTGACTGATACTTGTGTGCGCCCTAACTGGGGATCCAACCTGACCTTGGCATTATCTTCCCGACCATGCTTTAACCAACTGACCCAGCCAGGGCTGCAGTGTTTATATTTCTTGTCCTTCCCATTTTTGAAGAGGCAAACATCAAGTTAAGGAATGTTCCCTGCCCCTCTAAGGACTGAAGTTTTACACCAGTAAACCCTTTGCCCTGTTTCTGTCATCATATCCTACTGAATCTTCAGCGCCTGCTGGCTGGCAGTAAAAATTGTTTTTGGTGGTTTTTTTTTTTTTTTTTTTTTCCCCCNTTTTTTTTTTTTTTTATCCTCACCTGAGGATATTTTTTCCATTGCTTTTCAGAGAGAGTGTAAGGGGGGAAGAGAGAGAGAGAGAGAGAGAAACATCGATGTGAAAGAGACACATTGATTGGCTGCCTTCCACACGTGCCCTGACCGGGGCCCTGGGATGGAGCCAACAAGTATGTGCCCTTGGCCGGAATCGAACCTGGGACCCTTTGGTCCACAGACCGATGCTCTAACCACTGAGCCAAACCAGCTAGGGCAAGAATTGTTATCTTAATTTTGCTTCTCAGCTCAGAAGCCCTCAATCAGTCTGCTACCTATCTTGTGAAGTCATAAACCTTTAAAATCACCATTTAGACCTCCCACTGGCCACCTGAATTCTGCCATTCTCAGGGTGAATGTGTTTGTTTTTACCCCAGGTGATTTGGCTGCTCCTTAAAGTGCAGGGTGCCTAGAACAGCATTCCCATGAACATTGTTTCTTTTGGAACTTCGCTCTTCATTTAGCCTGGTTCCAGAAAGTATTAAGTAATGACTTTAGTGTTCATTTAGGTGCATAAATGATTTGATCTCAAAGTGATGAAAGGAATGATTGCCTTTTCACATTCAGGTAACTTGTTTAGAAGATGAGGAAGTTCTAGCTAGGTTTTGGGTTTTTTGAGAACTGCAAACTAGCAGCAGTAGAATTCTGACTACAGGAGCAGGCTTTAAATGTTGGGTATTCATGGGGTGTGTACCTTGAGTTAAGTAACAGTTGAATACACAAATTGTATATGTAATTGTAGGTAGTCTCCAGAGAATTGATAGATCTTAAGTAACAGTGCTTAATCCTATTTAAAGAATTGCAAAAGTTGTGTATTTCATAGTGCATGGATTTGGATGACCCAATTTTGGTTGTGTGGAATACCTAACTATGTAAAGCTGCTGAACAGGCACAAGTTAAAGGTGGCATTATGAGTGCCTATTTCATAAGCCCTCTAAGATGTGTGATGTGAATGGATAACTTGATGGCAGTTAGATAACCTGCCACCTTTGCTATTACATTCTCTCTTTTTTTTTTTTTTTTAAATATATCTTTGTTGATTTCAGAGAGAGAGAGAGAGAGAGAAACGTCAATGAGAGAGTCATTGATCGAGCCCACAACTGGGCCTGTGCCCTGACCGAGAATCGAACCCCGATCGCCTGGATCCTAGGTCGACGCTCAACTGCTGAGCCACGCCCGGCTGGGCTACATTCTCTCTTAAATTCACTATTTTTCACATTTGTTTTCTCCCTAAGGCTAAAGACAAATTGTCACAACTCTGTTGTTTGCAAAGCTTTGCTTTACAGTAGTACTTAACCCAACATAGTCATATTTTTGAAGATTTTCTGCAGTGATTTATGAGGCGTATCACTTTTTTCCAGGCTAAAACTACAAAGAAGATTGTGCTGAGACTCGAATGTGTTGAGCCCAACTGCAGATCTAAGAGAATGCTGGCTATTAAGAGATGCAAGCATTTTGAACTGGGAGGAGATAAGAAGAGAAAGGTACACAATTTGGGGTGGAAGGTGCCATCTTTTCTATGTAGCTTTATTATATTTGGAGAGGTGAATATTTCTGCCCACTTGTTTATTGTGGCATCAAGATAGGGGCAGTCCTCTTAAAATACTTGATCCATAGCTGAAGGTGTAAGGTTTTTGGTGGTGTGTTTGGCATGAGTAGGAAGGGGAGAAGGAGACCACAATAAAGGATGGTGATCTCTTAAGGAATAGACACTATTCTTGATGGAATAGAAGTTCTATGCAAGATGCAAAAACTTACTTTTTTTTTTTCTTTTCTATTACAGGGCCAAGTGATCCAGTTCTAAGTTTCATATTTTGTTTTATTATGTGACAATAAAACCTTTGAAAATATGTTCGTTTCATGTGGTTGCAATTGGTCCATTCGGGAGGGAAGTAAACTAGTGTTCCACGAGGGAAATTTTATGCTTAAATGGTTCTTTTCGGGTACTTGACTCCATTTGGATTGAATTTGGTTGAACTCAAATCAGATGTTGTGAATGGTTTGGTCTAGCACTTCAATCACTTGAGGCTTCACGGGATCCCTTTTGCTGTTATGAAGTAAGGATTACTGGTTATCGTGGAACATAAGCAGAGATCTGAACCTCTCAAACAGGGTGAGCTCAGTAACGATTATATCCACAGTGAATGCAAAGCTTACCAAGAGTGAAATAATTTGTTTCACATACCTTTGTGCTTCAGTCATTTATTTTGAATTTTTTTTTTAAACCCTCACACGAGGCTATGTTTTTAATTTTCAGAGAGGGACAGGGAAAGGGAAAAAAACTGGTTGCTTCCCATAGGGAATTTGGGCCCTGTTCTCTAGACACTAACATACTATATGTATTACATGTCTTCAGACTACTCATACCACCTAAACGTTTTGACATCACCCTCAAATTTAGTAGACAAATTCATGATGCAAAAGATACAATAATTTCTAGTGAATGAAAATCCTCAATGGAATCTAGCAGTGATAATCCATTTTTAAAATGCCTAATACTTTCAAGTTCATATCCCTTTTATCTTTGTATACTATTCTACATACTTCATTCTTACTGATGTTCACCTCTTCATACTTGTGCAGCAAAACTGGATGGCGAAGTAAATTTGCTACATATTCTGGTAACTGGAAGTGCATCTCAGTGAGATGGAGCAATTTGCTTTCAAAATCGGTTTATCTGGATGATTGAGACACGGTTTACCAATTTCACTGCAATTTTTATCAGCTGACAATGATTAGTCATCCAATTTTTTTTTAATCCTCACCAAAGGATATACTCACTGACCCTAGAGGGGAAGGGAGAGACAGAAAATCAATTGTTCGCCTTCCATCGGTGCCCTGACTGGGAATCGAACCTGCAACCTCTTTGGTATAAGGGATGATGTGCCAACCGAGCCACATTGGCCAGGGCAGTCTTCCAATTTTATTGAAAATAACTGGTAATCACCTGACAGGCAAAGGAGTTGTTCAAACAGACATACTTTGAGTGGCCCTGTTGGTTTTTGTAGTGAAATTAAAAATATATTTTTTATTGATTTCTAGAGGAAGGGAGGAGAGAAACGTGAGAGGAACATTGATTGGCTGCCTCCTGCACGCCCCCTATCGGGGATGGAGCCTTCAACCTGGGCCTGTGCCCTGACCAGGAATTGAACCCAGATCACCTGGATCCCAGGTCGACGCTCAACTGCTGAGCCACGCCTGGCCAGGCTGTAGTGAAATTTTATTCAGGGAAATAAGAACAGCTGAAGTGAGAATGGAAGAAAAGGACAGAAGTGTGGTAGTCGCAACAATATGCAAGTTTTTAAGGAAGCTTTTTTGCCCTGGCTGGGTAGCTCAGTTGGCTAGAGCATCATCCGGCTAAGCCAAGGTTGTGGGTTTGATCCCTGGTCAGAGCACATACAAGAATCAACCAATAAATGCATAAATGAGTGGAAAAACAGCTCGATGTTTCTCTATCCTTTCCTTACAAATTCAATAAATTCTCAGGAAGCTTTACAATGTAATCTAGTTTCTTTCTAGCCGAAGCAAAACAGTACCGGTGGGATTTACTCGAGTTTTTAAACATGAAGTCCATTCATAAAACCCAAGTTTTGTCTTCACAGGGAGCAGCTCCATGACAAGACAAGCAGGATTACAGGCCAGCCCTTGACCCAGGGAAGCAACATTGATTGTGTAAGAACGAGGTCCACCAATCTCCTGCAGGTTTACCACAGCCACAGCCCAGGCTAAGTTTGAGAGAGGGCGTTCCCACACCTCAATGTTGTCTTCCTGAAAAGTAAGCCAAGAAAACAGGTGTGATAGCTTGGTAACTAGCAATATGCTGCTTTGTGGCAGGCAGTCTTACTGTCAGAACTATCACACACTTCCGTGTAGCATGTTTGGGAACTAAAGGAATGATTCTAACAAAAAACTTCATTGCTGATTATATCAAGATTAGAAAATATATTCTCAAAAGACCAGTGCATATATCTTCATATGTAACAGATTTAGTCCCAAGACAAACTTGGCACTTGGCTATAAAGCCATCTTAAAATACACCCCCCAAACATTTGGATGCATTTTAAACTAGAAGGCAGGAGAATGTGTTCCTGGCTAATGCCTATTTCCTCCCATAGAATATTATTTACTATACCTCTCTAAGTAGGTACCCCTGCTTGCCCAAGGGGTCCTGGTTGATGGCAATTACATCCTTATTCTGGAGGAGGGTTTTGGCTTGAAGGCTGATTTGTCGGAGGTCATTGGACATGAGTAATGGAGCTGCCATGATAGCCCAGAGGGCCATCTGAGTTATCTGCTGATCCCAGCTGAGGCCAAAGTTGCCAATCACTAACTGGGACAAAGAGTGCAATTAGAATTCAAATGAGAGAAGACAAAAACAGTCTTAAAGTTGCCTAGACACAGAAGCCACTTCCCAGCACCCTACTCTGAGTACTCTCACATAAAGCCTGCTCCAAGGAACATTCCTTTTCAATTTACCTTGAATGTCAAGTAGGAAACAGGCCCACTGCAGGGGTTTGAACGGAGGGCTCAGGTTCTTACCATATCTGGGTCATTCCAACCCCCTGGTCCTGCGGCACTAACAAGTGTCTTCTGGATAGAAGATGTCCACCTCAAGATACTCTTTACACTTTCCCAAGAATCATAAATGTCTCCAAAATTTCTCCAGTGATTGCAGTACTGTCGGATTTCTGTATAATTGGGCTGTGAAAACAGAGATACTGTAACTCTTCTGCTTGCATTCTACTAACGTTCCTGTGAGAGAAAAATAGTCAAGTTTAAAGGAAGCACTTAAAGCCTTCTCTTTAGTTTACAGCTTAAAGGTCGCCATGAGGAGACATAAATCTTTATTATAATGGAATTTCATTGTAAGAACTTTGCTTCAGAAGTAGGCGATATAACTTAAAATCTCCACTTAAAATGGCTTAAACAATGTTTATGCTGGAAATTTACCAAACAGGAACTAGGTACTGGGATTATGGAGGATTCATCTTTTTTTCACACCTCACTATATTTTTAAACTTCTAAAATGAACATGTATTGCTCTTATAATCAGAAATAACAAATGATCTTAATAAAACAGCTGCAAAATAACATAGAACTCATCAAATATGATACGGATCTGAATCCTAGGCATATAATTTGTTAATAGGATAAGTAAAAGTTTGTAAACAGGCACATGGGATATCCAAGGTTTAAGATGTTGAGAAAGAGGTGAAGATTATTCTACAGATTAGAAAGGAATAACAGGGATTCATTCTATAAATAATTATTCAGCACTTACCATATGCTAGTGATATAGTGATAAAGTCAGACAATGTCCCTGCCCTCCTGGAGCTTACATTCTAGTGGGGGGAGACAGACAATAAGCCAGTCAACACATAATTCCATATAGTGATAAGGTCTTGGATGGAAACTAAACCGGTTAATGTGATACAGAATAAATGGATAGAGTGCTATTTTTTTTTTTTTACAAATACCTTTTTTTTTTTTTT